TGCAGAACTGGAAAAAACCACCTTAAACTTCATATGGAACCAAAAGAGAGCCCGCATAGCCAAGTCAATTCTAAGCAAAAAGAACAAAGCGGGGGGCATCACACTACCAGACTTCAAACTATACTACAAAGCTACAGTAATCAAAACAGCATGGTACTGGTACCAAAACAGAGATATAGACCAATGGAAGAGAACAGAGGTCTCGGAGGCAACACAACATATCTACAACCATCTGATCTTTGACAAACCAGTCAAAAACAAGCAATGGGGAAAGGATTCCCTGTTCAATAAATGGTGTTGGGAAAGCTGGCTAGCCATGTGCAGAAAGCAGAAACTGGACCCCTTCCTGACACCTTACACTAAAATTAACTCCAGATGGATTAAAGACTTAAGCATAAGACCTAACACCATAAAAACCCTAGAAGAAAATCTAGGTAAAACCATTCAGGACGTAGGTGTAGGCAAGGACTTCATGACCAAAACACCAAAAGCATTGACAACAAAAGCCAAAATAGACAAATGGGACCTAATCAAACTCCACAGCTTCTGCACAGCAAAAGAAACAATCATTAGAGTGAATTGGCAACCAACAGATTGGGAAAAAATTTTTGCAGTTTTACCCATCCGACAAAGGGCTGATATCCAAAATTTACAAAGAACTAAAACAGATTTACAAGAAAAAAACTAACAAGCCCATTCAAAAGTGGGCAAAGGATATGAACAGACACTTTACAAAAGAAGACATACGTGAGGCCAACAAACATATGAAAAAATGCTCATCATCACTGGTCATCAGAGAAATGCAAATCAAAACTACATTGAGATACCATCTCACGCCAGTTAGAATGGCGATCATTAAAAAATCTGGAGACAACAGATGCTGGAGAGGATGTGGAGAAATAGGAACACTTTTACACTGTTGGTGGGAGTGTAAATTAGTTCAACCATTGTGGAAGACAGTGTGGCGATTCCTCAAGGACATAGAAATAGAAATTCCATTTGACCCAGCAATCCCATTACTGGGTATATATCCAAAGGATTACAAATCGTTCTACCATAAGGACATGTGCACACGAATGTTCATTCCAGCACTGTTTACAATAGCAAAGACCTGGAACCAACCCAAATGCCCATCGATGATAGACTGGATAGGGAAAATGTGGCACATATACACCATGGAATATTATGCAGCCATCAAAAACAATGAGTTAGGGTCCTTTGTAGGGACATGGATGAACCTGGAAACCATCATTCTCAGCAAACTGACAGAAGAGCAGAGGATCAAACACCGCATGTTCTCACTCATAGGTGGGTGTTGAACAATGAGAACACATGGACACAGGGAGGGAAGCACCCCACACTGGGGTCAGTTGGGGGGAAATAGGGGAGGGAGGGTGGGGGGTAGGAAGCTGGGGAGGGATGGCAGGGGGAGAAATGCCAGATGTAGGTGATGGGGAGGAAGGTAGCAAATCACACTGCCATGTGTGTTCCTATGCAACAATTTTGCATGTTCTTCACATGTACCCCAAAACCTAAAATGCAATAAAATAAATAAATGGGAAAAAAAAAAGAATATTGAATATTGGCTCCCACTCTCTTCTGGCTTATAGGGTTTCAGCAGAGAAATTTGCTGTTAGTCTGATGGGCTTTGTGGGTAGACCAACTTCTCTCTGGCTACCCTTAACATTTTTCCTTCAATTCAACCTTGGTGAATCTGACGACTATGTGTCTTGGGGTTGCTCTTATTGAGGATTATCTTTGTGTATTTCCTGAGTTTGAATATTGTCCTGTCTTGCCAGGTTGGGGAAGTTCTCCTGGATAATATCCTGAAGAGTGTTTTTCAAATTGGTTCTATTCTCCCCGTCATTTTCAGGTACCCCAATCAAATGTAGGTTTGGTCTTTTCACATAATCCCATATTTCTTGGAGGCTTTGTTAATTCCTTTTCATTCTTTTTTCTCTAATCTTGTCGTCATGCTTTATTTCATTAAGTTGATCTTCAATCTCTGGTATCCTTTCTTCTGCTTGATTGATTTGGCTGCTGATACTTGTGTATGCCTCATGAAGGTCTTGTGCTATGTTTTTGATCTCCATTAGGTAATTTATGTTCTTCTCTAAACTGGTTATTCTAGTTAGCAATTACTCTAATCTTTTTTCAAGGTTCTTAGCTTCCTTGCATTGAGTTAGTTACATGTCCCTTTAGCTTGGAGGAGTTTGTTATTACCCACCTTCTGAAGCCCACTTCTGTCAATTTGCCAAACTTATTCTCTGTCTAGTTTTGCACCCTTGCTGGTGAGGAATTGTGATTCTTTGGAGGAGAAGAGGTGTTCTGGTTTTTGGAATTTTCAGCCTTTTTGCACTGGTTTTTCTTCATATTCATGGACTTATCTACCTTTGGTCTTTGATGCTGATGATGTTCAGATAGGGTTTTTGTGTGGACATCCTTTTTGTTGATGTTGATGCTATTCCATTCTGTTTGTTAAATTTCTTTCTAATAGTCAGGGCTCCCTACTGTAGGTCTGCTGCAGTTTGCTGGATGTCCACCACTCCAGACCCAGCTTGTCTGGGTTTCATCAGCAGAGGCTGAAGAATAGCAAAGATTGCTGCCTGTCCATTCCTCTGGAAGCTTCTTCCCAGAGGGGCACCTGCCAGATGCCAGCCAGAACTATCCTATATGAAGTGTTTGTCAACCCCTGCTAGGAGGCGTCTCCCAGTCAGGAGGCATCTCCCAGTCAGGAGGCATGGGAGTCAGAGTTTTACTTGAGGAGGCAGTCTGCCTTTAGTTGGCTTAAGTGCTGTTCTGGGAGATCTGCTGCTCTGTTCAGAGCCAGCAGGCAGGAACCTTTAAGTCTGCTGAAGCTACATCCACAGCCGCCCCTTCCCCTAGGTGCTCTGTCCCAGGCAGATGGGAGTTTTATCTATAAGCCCCTGACTAGGACTGCTGTAAAAGGCTTTATTTTAAACATGGACTACAACTCTGTGAAAGTTTACCTATTTTACCTACAAAATGAAAAAAACTCATGTTGTAGGTACTAAAAATATGTGTTAATAAATGATATATTTCTGGGTAAATGGAATTATACTTTCATTCAAAATAAGCATCTCAATATAAATACACCCTTTTTTACTAGTACAAAATAACAATAAAAAATGTATCTCTTTCTAGACAAGATTTCCAATGTTATTCAGCAACTGAGCATACTTCATCCTTTCTGCAGCTTCCAAACATATACTAACAAACAAAAAATAGTGCCCAACATATGACTCATGAGAATCACAAGCAATTCCAATGTCACTAATTCAGAAAACTAAATGAGAAAAAAGTGTTCAGAAAACTCAGAACCTGTACTCAAGGGTGCTTCCGAAGCCTTCAACATAAGAAAAGACATTTCTTTTGGAATACTATGTATGTTAAAGACTAATTCAGAAATAAATACAAAGACAGCAGATTAGAATACACTGAAAGGAGCTCACAACAAAGGAAAGAGAAAGAAGAGTTTAAAAAAAAAACAGGAGCCAGGCGCGGTGGCTCAAGCCTGTAATCCCAGCACTTTGGGAGCCCTAGGCAGGTGGATCACGAGGTCAAGAGATCGAGACCATCCTGGTCAACATGGTGAAACCCCGTCTCTACTAAAAATACAAAACATTAGCTGGGCATGGTGGCACGTGCCTGTAATCCCAGCTACTCAGGAGGCTGAGGCAGGAGAATTGCCTGAACCCGGGAGGCGGAGGTTGCGGTGAGCCTAGATCGCGCCACTGCACTGCCAGCCTGCGTAACAAGAGTGAAACTCTGTCTCAAAAAAAAAAAAAACAAAAAAAAACAGGAAAATATAATTACACAAGTACAACTGTGTTCAATCATTTACATAAAGTTACCTAAGGAAAAAGTCAATCATAATCATAGCATTGTTATTTTTGAGCACAGTATATCATCAGAGGCTTGGACACTTTACAGTCTAGCCATCGTTTTACATATAAAGGAAATGTGAACAAACTTGTTAATTACTTGATGAAGACTGTACACAGGGTGAAGCAGAAATTATATTAATTAAAAAAAATATATAGTGCTATTTTAGTTATTTTGTAATCCCTAAGAATATATTAGAAAATGGTTCAATGATGATATAATGACAAAATGACATCCTTCTTGTGATTCCATTGATTGGAAAAACAAAAAAAATTGAAAAAATTTATTTGACAATTTGCTAGGATATTTTGTAAGCAAATATTACATATTTATTCATTATATTTATGAAAAAGTTTCAAATTTAATTATTAATAAGTAAAATATTGTTTAGGTTACTTTTTATAAACATGAAATGATCTATAAGGAATAAAGTTAAAATTCTTCCTATCAATAAATAAATGAATTAATTAATTTTAGGTATTTAATAAAAGGGATGTATTCTATCAAAACTGTGTAAAAGAGCCAAGAGTGATTTTGGGAGGTGACGATATCTTCTACATAATTAATCAAAATTGAGGATATTTTCACTTCTGAAATAAAACTCTCCTTTTAGGCAAATATAAATTTTATTCCTGTTTAAGAAAAACTTGTTATGCTCTAAACTTTAAAAATATTTTCCATCAAGTAAATGATCTGCCTTAGTATACATCTGTGAACTGGAGGAGCTGGAGTTTACAAAGGTCATTTCAAATACTGGAAGCAAATCTAGGACAGTGTCTACCAACGACTTCCTTGTATTTCATTCCTTCATGGGCCTATTGTTTTAAAAGACTTTACTAATTTATTAATTAAAATGATAAAACATATTAAGATATCAAGATTCAACTCTCAAAGACAATTCCTAACAAGCATGGACTACCCAGTACTATCCCAGTGTAAAATCCAGAAAAAGCAAAAAGACTAGGTGTTTAACCTAGCCTTTTTCCAACAAATCAATGCAAGTCATGAGAACATTTCATTCAGAGCACAGTAAAATACTATGCAAATTATTAAAAGAATGGCATTTTAAAATTGAGTTAATAAAGGGTATTTACCACATGGGTTGATTGTAGAGCTAAGTGAAGCAACTCCAGCGGAAAGGCCACCTTTTGAAACTACTGAAGCCACAGAAGGTGTCGAAGATGAAGGTGGTGTAGTAGAGGAGGCTACGGAGGATGGTAACCGCTCTCCAGACTCCATATCTATGAGAAGAGAAAATGTTAATTTTCAGCATCCAATAAAAGTTTTTTCAAAAGAATTCAACATATTTAAACATTTTTGCATACTTTTAAAAGTATAAAATAAATTTAGAAATATATGTTCTTTGAAAAGATAAAATATGGAGTAGATAAAAACGATATAATTTAAAATACCAATTTATGGGATAAGTTTAAGTATACCAACTTCTCTTGAGTTTTCTTATTCCCCAAAAGTTAATAGTGGTTTGAATATAGTAATTTCACACAAGTCTGTGTTGCCACAACCATAAATTAACATGTTATATTCATCTTACTCATTCCAAATCTCATCATCTATTCACTTGCAGCATAATTCCTATGTTACCTTAATGAAAAACAAAAAAAATACCACCATATTTGAATGGACTGCATCTTTATCTTCTAAATCCAGATAGCAATAGACTTGTAGGTCTTTGGTGTCCCAGAATCCAGCCTGGGAATCCCCAGTACAGTGAACACCCCCTCTGCCCCTCAAAAAAGGCAAATACATTTCAGAGTTTTACTGAAGGCAAATTTAAATCATGATTTCAAAATAGCCTTAGTATGTGACCCATTTAAAATGACAAAAACAGGCCGGGAGTGGTGGCTCACACCTGTAATCTCAACACTTTGAGAGGCTGAGGCAGGCAGATCACCTGAGGTCAGGACTTTGAGACCAGCCTGGCCAACATGGTAAAACCCTATCTCTAACAAAAATACAAAAATTAGCTGGGCGTGGTGGCAGCCGCCTGTAATCCCAGCTACTTGGGAGGCTGAGGCAGTAGAATTGCTTGAACCTGGGAGGCGAAGATTACAGTGAGTCAAGATCACGCCACTGTACTCCAGCCTGGGTGACAAGAGCAAAACTCTGCCTCAAAAAAAAAAAAAGATAAAAGCACTTCTAATCATCTTTATTAATTTGTTTGGCTTTGTAGGTACAGTCTTGCATTGGTTTTATTGCAATAGCTGATGCTGATATTAATAATCTGGAATATAATGGGAATTTTATATTCATTTTAATACTCTATGCATGCACTGATCCCACAATCAAGCAAGAAAGTCATTAAATTCACAGATGCTTTAAAGAGAATACAATCTACAATAAGAAAAAAAATACTGCTTACCTACAAGTGAATTTATGATCAGCCACATGAAAACTCTCACCATTTAAATAATCTACAGAAAGATTTCTGTATGGGATTCTACAGGCAACTCACAGAATAACTGTATATTTACTAAGAAAGTTGGATTTTATTTTAAAATATGAACTAATTAAAATACTGCAAGGCTAGTGTTTGCCTAATTGTTGACTGAATCCATAAAGTATGTAGACAATTTTTCTCATAAGATAGATACATATGGGGAAGGTAATCTCAAATCGACATATAACATCATTAGTAAGACCATTTCTACAAGCTTTCCAATCATATAGAGTTCAAAAATTCTCTTCATATTCTAGTATTGCTGTAAATCACTTCCGCAGATGGCAGTACTGCTATGATGAGTCTGTCCATATTCTTAACAGAATTTGTATTTCTCTTTATCAGAATTCATTATGGGAAAGGCATAGTTACTGCTGATGGTTGCACGCAAGAAATGTTTAAAAGGTAGGTTCTGGGTCAGCAACAGTAAGTAATGAACTCTGAGACATGTGGCTGTCTGATGGTAAGGCCCTTACAAACTATTTTTACCAAGTCTAATTTCACTAAATACAAAAAAAATGGATTCTTTACCTAGAAGAGAGTTTAGGAAAAGGTTATATTTTCTTTATAGCTGGTGCCCTCATTGTCTTCAAGAATTCTATTTGCTACTGAAATATATAATGGAAGGTGTTTAAAAAAATTGCCTTTGTACTCCACAGCAGAAATAATTTGGTGACATAATTAGATATGCACTTTAGCTGAGTACTTGGCATATAAGAGCTCAACATAAAATAGTCATTATCTTTTTTTTAAGATAGCATGCGATGAAGTGTAGGTATTTCTTATTGTTGATAAAACCTGATTCAGGACTAAAGTAAGGAAAATCCAGAAAGTAAAAGAAATATCCAGAAGGCAAAACTGCTTCTTTTGCACACATACAGCTTACTGGATATTACTTTCCCTGAAGATTTAATCTTAATATTTATTTAAACAAATAAATGCAGATGTACAAATGCGTGCACACATACACACACACACAGAAATAAAGTATCATTAGGTAAAGTAATATATACAACTTTGTTTGCTACAGCACTGCTTAAAAATAAAATTTAAACCTGGCAATGAGAGTAAAACTAAAGCTAGTAGTATAAGGCTGGGGCCTTTTTTAGTTTCAGTAAAGGTGTAATTTTTTTTCTTCTATTTTTGTTTTTTTTAATCTCATTTAAGTAAGAAGGAGCTTAACTTCTTAAAAACATATGCTTATGTAACCATTTTCCTTAGAATCTCTTATTATATATTCATGTATTTTATTATTTTATATATTCATGTATTATTTTATTTCAACTATTTTGATACTAGATATTTATTTTTAGCCTAAGATTTCTTAGGTGGCTATGTAGTCTCCTCATATGTAAAGTACTAATTCTCTCATACTGGCCTTAAGTAGTTCTTGTTTTTAATAGGCATTTCTTAGTTCTAAAAACCAAAAATTGGGTGAACTGCTCGAAGTTTATCTTATACATATCCTTTTTTTCCATTTTATAGAAATTTAACAAATCCACTCTAGCCTTTGCTACACTAGAATATTGTCTTATACCTTAATTTATAAGGATTAGCTCTTCGAATTTTCTTTTTTAAGTTAAATATTTTTCTTTCAGTTTTATTTGCCATAATTCTCTGCTAAAGCACAAGAAATCCTGGCCATCAACTTGATAGTTAAAAGGTGAGAAGGCAATGCCTTTGTAATTGTGAAATTGTATAATTGTGAAAAATCCACAAAACAATCATTGGCTTAACATATTGTAAAAACTGTTCAGAGAAGAAGGTTGCTCTGTTTTTTATTTTTAATTCTAAAATTATTTCAAAATAAAAAGTAAAAAAAAACAAAAAACACAAAGTCTTACAAACAGTAAGCACTAAAAAAAAAAAAATTACACGCATTGGAGTTAAAGAGCATAAAAACTAAACCTTGAAGGAATGAAGAACAGACTACATTATGTCAGTGAGATATTTGATAATAAACATTATCTGGGTTCAAACACTATGTCTGAAGGTTTTAGTTATAATCTTGTAAAAAGTATGTAATTTCTCTCAGTTCTCAATTTCCTCATGAGTTATTTGAAGAAGATGTAGTTGGGAGGATTAAATGAGATAATGCATGTAAAGGGCAGAGTACCTAGCATTCAATATTTGTTAGCTATTGTTTTTTTTTTTTTTGTTGATGGTGAGACGGAGTTTCACTCATGTTACCCAGGCTGGAGTGCAATGGCGCGATCTCGGCTCACCGCAACCTCCGCCTCCTGGGTTCAGGCAATTCTCCTGCCTCAGCCTCCTGAGTAGCTGGGATTACAGGCACGCGCCACCATGCCCAGCTAATTTTTTGTATTTTTAGTAGAGACGGGGTTTCACCATGTTGACCAGGATGGTCTCGATCTCTTGACCTCGTGATCCACCCGCCTCGGCCTCCCAAAGTGCTAGGATTACAGGCTTGAGCCACCGCGCCGCTCCCGGCCAGCTATTGTTTTTAATAAGTAAACATCTATGTATATAATTACCCATCCGTTTACGTGGCAATAAAAGAAACCTTAAGGTATTCTAGATTATTCATGTTAAAGTGAATAAGAGTTATACCATTTATAGATTATGTATATTCTTACCATGGCATTATATTTTTTAGCCAGATAGATTGTGTCAAGAATTTAATGTCTAATAATTGTATAGATACCAATGACAAGGTATGTCATCTCAAAATTTTTCAAATAAGCTGATTTTTCATCTACAATACAAATAAAGATGAAAAATTAATACATTTATTTTACATTGACAAAATATGTTATGTGAATTATTCTTTATAATTCAAGCACAGAATGTAAGAATCTGCAGAAACTCCTTTCTTCAGCTTTTTTTTGAGATTCCTTTTTTTATTATTATTATTATACTTTAAGTTCTGGGGTACATCTGCAGAACGTGCAGGTTTGTTACATAGGTATACACGTGCCACGGTGGTTTGCTGCACCCATCAACCCGTCCTCTACATTAGGTATTTCTCCTAATGCTATCCCTCCCCTACCTCCCATCCCCCAATAGGCCCCAAAGTGTGATGTTCCCCTTCCTATGTCCATGTGTTCTCACTGTTCAACTCCCACTTGTGAGAGCATGCAGTGTTTGGCTTACTGTTTTTGTGTTAGTTTGCTGAGAATGATGGTTTCCAGCTTCATCTATGTCCCTGCCAAGAACATGAACTCAGCCTTTTTTATAGCTGCATAGTATTATATGGTATATATGTGTCACCTTATCTTTATCCAGTCTATCACTCATAGGCATTTGGATTGGTTCCAAGTCTTTGCTATTGTGAATAGTGCTGCAATAAACATATGTCTGCATGTATCTTTATAGTAGAATGATTTTTAATCCTTTGGATATATATTCAGTAATGGGATTGCTGCATCAAATGGTATTTCTGGTTCTAGATCCTTGAGGAATTGCCACACTGTCTTCCACAGTGGTTGAACTAATTTACACTCTGAACAGTGTAAAATCATTCCTATTTTTCCACATCCTCTTCAGCATCTGTTGTTTCCTGACTTTTTAATGATCACCATTCTAAGTGGCATCAGATGGTATCTCATCGTGGTTTTGATCTGCATTTCTCTAATGACCAGTGATGATGAGCCTTTTTTCATTTGCTTTTTGGCGCATAAATGTCTTCTTTTGAGAAGTGTCTGTTCATATCCTTTGCCAACTTTTTGATGGGGTTGTTTTTTTCTTGTAAATATGTTTAGATTCTTTGTAGATTCTTGATATTAGCCCTTTGTCAGATAGACAGATTGCAAAACTTTTCTC